TCACTTTCGCGCTCCTTTTATGGCATTGTTCCCCTTTGTTTGACTGCAGCACAATTACTTCTTTCATTGACTCCATCGCCAACCGGTCTCGCCGCGTCTCGCTCAAAAGTCATTTTGTTTTTTCTCTTTTTTTTTGCCCCCCCCCCCCCCCCCGCCAACGCACCGACAGATCCTGCGAACGTGAGAGAACAGGAGCGGCCGCAGGTGGAAAAACAACAACAAAAAGAAGCATACATGAGTACAAAAATAATCCGCTACCTCATCTGCGCACCCAAAAAAGTATTTCAAACCTCGTCTTTTTCCCCACAACCCTCCCCCCCTTTCTTCCTTTTTTTTTCTTTTTCTAAAATAAATAAATAAATACATCGCTGAAGACAAATGCACATCCACCACCCCCCAACAGCGCTCTGCCTCGTCTCGCTCGCAGTCCCCTTCTCTCCTCCTCCTCCTCCCAAACATTCTCCACCCACCTCTCCCGCGGCTCCTTTTTGGCAGACGGGCGGGGCGCAGCGGCAGGAAACACAACGCGGGGCAGCAAAAAAAAAAAAAAAAAAAAAGAGAAGAAAAGACAACGACATTCATAAATAAACAAACGGCAATGAGCAGATGGCCCACAGTCATCCTTAACGGCATACGCTGACGTCACCACATGCGTCTTCATGTACAACGGAAAAACAAGCAAACAACCAAAAAAAAAAAAAAAAAAAGAGTGGGGGCGAGGAGAGAAGGCATGCAAATAAAGAAAAAAAAAGAAAAAAAAAAAAAGGAAAACGAGTGGCAACACGTCAACAACAGCGGCAAAAACAAAACAAAACAAAAACAAAACAAACAAACAAACAAAAAATCGGGAAAATTTTGGTAGAAATGGCAGGGGCTCTTGCAGCAACAAATATTACTCAACCATCCGCCTTCATTTCTATCAAAAAACAGAACGAACAATGACTTCCCCGCCCTTTGAAGTGAAAAATGCATAAAACAAAAAAAAAAAAAAACAGAAAAAAAAAAACCATCAAAACTAAAACATCAGGGTACAGGCAAAGAAAGAAAGTGCAGAAAAAAAAAAAAAAAAGAATTATAAAAATGCAAAATTAGTAAAAAACAAAACAACAACAAAAAAAATATATATTATATGTATATACGTATATATAATATGAATATAAATGTATGCGTATATACATACATATAATGGGCTTCGCTTTCCATATTCTTTTCTTTGTCTCTCTCTTTCTCACATCCTTTTTTTTTTTTTTTTTCATTTCGTTTCCCTCTTTACTTCTGGGAAGCAGTCGTGCCACAAACGTCAGTCTGCGCCACACGGCGATCCACGACACCTGAAAGGGAGCCGGAGTTGCGATCCACGTTTGTTGGCCCGCCGGCCTTGTAGACACCAGTGTACATATTCTTATCGTCGTGGAACTTCACTGCATCGGCCTTGGTTGCGCGTGCCTCGGGAGAGCAACTTGAAATATCTGCGATCAATTCCTCCACGGACTTCTTTAACTTTGATGCAATCTCAGGAACAGCCTTGTCAACAAAATCCGACAATGTAATTTTGCGGGCTCCCTTTGCTTTCACTTTGTTGAAGAGAAGATCGGCGTCGGTGCTGGTGAATTGCTTTCCAATGACCTTCGTCTCCTTCAGCATCTTGGAAAAGTGAGCATTGTCCATCTCTTTCGTGGGCGCACCACCAAAGGAGGCAAAGGCGTAAAAGGCGCTCTCAATGCTCATTGTTGAAGTGATGGATTTACTGTTTTTGCTTTTATTTGGTTTTTTTTTTTTCCTTTTTTTCTTCGTTCTTCTTTTTGTTATGGTTGTGGCTGCAGATGATCTTAAAAAAAAAAAAAAAAAAACAACAACAACAACAACAAACTCGAAAAAATGTATATATACATATACAAATCGACATCGGATGTGTGCATTCAACGTGACATACTTCAATCCGGCGTCTCGATGGGCATGCGGATGGTTCCAATTGCTTCGGGGCGAAGCAAAAACACTCACGCCAAAGACGTGTTCTCAGGGGTGCGCTTGCGTACATTCACGCACGGGCATACATTCCCTCCCATTGGGGCATTAAAAATGCTTCGAATTACGTGGCGGCCGTCTTTTGTTTTCTTTTTCACTTCACGCTCCGCCTCCGCCCTTCTGATTATTATATATATATATATATATATATATATATATTTTCGTCTCGTCCATAGCGCCCCTTTGATTGCGCTACTCCGACGAAAATAACGACCACAACAATGGAAAGGACAGGAATACATACATTAAAAAACAACAACAACGACAAAGCCAACACGCATCCGTGTCAAAAGTCAACCCCGTACTCATTCGGAAATCCCTGCATGCAGCCGTAGTGGCTTTCGTCAACACACATCAACATTGTCACTGAGGTGACGATACCACAAGAGCTCTCTTCGCCGCGTCAAGGTCCAAATATGCTCGCAATCGACTCATGCCACAGTTTGCGGGCGCTGACGAGATACTCGGTGCCCCTGTGCGGGAAACTTTCGTGCGTCCTGCGATATCACCCGAGTAGGGATGAGACGTAACGGCGCCAGTTCCCGCATAACGCAGACATTCTAGTTGCTCCGTTGCGTTCACAAGTGTCCGGGTCACACTATCCCTTAGGGCTTGTTGTTCTGCAAGGAGCGCTTTCCGTTTCGCTTCACGTTGCTGACGCCTTTGTTCCAACTCCGTCAATCCTTCACGCGATCCACCAAATGACAAAGAACCAAATTCTGAAGAAAATTTCAGTGACTGTGGCACGGTTGCTGCAATGCTACGCGGCAATTGCTTCAACGTCCCTTCCATCTCCTTGATGGCAACTGCCGCAGCATGATTGACAGGAATCTGCTGACGCGCCTTGGCGTAATACTCCGCATAATTCACAAAATGATTTGGCTGACAGTAACGGTTCGTGTACTCTTCCAATTTCTTCTGAATTTTAGATCTTTGCCTTCTTCGCCGTTCCTTCGGTGATGCCTTACGCGCCACAAAATCCGACCTGCTATTGGCACTTCTCTTGTTTCTAGTCACTGAAAATCCCCTCCTTTGTGAACCTGACAGCGTGCGTGCAGAAGATGGTGCAAACAGGGGACCCCTCCCATCGCCATCTTCTATAACCGTAATATAATCCCTGCGCTTCACGTGTTTTTCTGAACTACGGGGCGGTGAGGCCAAATCTGCGGATAACGGACGATTGTGAACGCCCTTCAATGATGAACCAATGTCCACACCAAATAAAGACGGGCCGTCTAATAATGCATGGCACGGCCACTCATTCTCTTCAATACCCGCAAAATCAAAATCCCGTGTAGATTCTCCCATGAAGTCTTCTTTAAGCACAATAGACTCCAGCAGTTCTATGCGCTCTCTCAATGCCAAGTTTTCAGCGTTCAGTTCCAATTCACGCCTCTCAAGCTCCGCCTTGGCGTTCTTTACGGTGTCAAAAGCATCTCGCAACTGACCGTTCACAGCAATAATGTTTTTCAGCGCCTCACACGCTTGTACAAGCTTCTCTGCCAATTCATTCACCCTACCATCATCAGTGCCATCTCGCTCCTGAAGTCTCTTAGACTCTGTAAAATCAACCTTGCCGAGATTGTCAGTCGTCAGAATTCCACAATATTTCAATTCCTTCTTCATGCTGGCTACCTCAGCACGGAGCTGACGGATGAGCGCAGACTTCGCGTCTTCGTTTACACGTGGGATGTTCGTAATGTTGCGCGCTCGACCGGCGTACAGAAGAGTTGACAATGTCTCATCAACATACCGGTCTGATGGACTAATGCATGCAATCATGGTAGTGAGCGAGTTGCCGCCTAATGCGTGCTTCAGCAACATGGTCAGCTTGCTCTCGCGGTATGGAATGTGCGACCTATCAGCGGGCTTACCTTTCTTCGCTCTTGTACCATTAGCAGCAAGAGCTGTAATGACTCTTCCGAGAGTGAGAAGTGACGCGTTGATATCGGGAGAGTCCTTTATCATTGACGAAGACGGGTTCCTAGAAAGCATTGCAATCCTCTCCGATCCTGCCAGATCCACAATGGAAAGCTCGGCCCTGATGGGTGTCTCTGGCGAGTCGGCGTCGTAGCGGGCAACGTATATGGTGAATACACAGTGCGAACGCGATGACTGCTGGTTCATGGCGTGGCTTCCCATGAATTTCTCCTTCGTGCCGGAGAAGAAGCATCGGCGCATCTTCTCCGACTCATCGCAGTTGCAGATAAAAAGATTCTCCACGGCAAAGACGTCGCCGCGGCACCAGCCGACCTTCAGCCCGGCGTTCGGCGAGTGCGTCGTGGCTGGGTCCAGCAGGTCCGTCACGCGCTCGTTGTATATCTGATAGAAGCTGCAGCAGAACTGGAACCGCAGGTTTCCGTCCTCCAACTGCATCTCCCGTGCGCGATCAAACACAAGCTGGATGGCACGAGGAATAATGCCGTGTTGCCGGGGATCCGTTTTGAGGCTGGGCCTGGGATTCCCACTGCCGTGCCGCAGGTAGTCGATGCCCTCCACCGTGTATGTCTTTCCGCTACCCGTCTGCCCGTACGCGAACACGGTGGCGTGGATGCCCTTCAGGACGTGCTCAATCATCGGTGATACTTCCTGCATGACGTCCTCTTGCGTGGAGTTCGGTGGCAGGACGCGATCAAAGGTAAAGCAGCGTGTCCCTCCTGAGCCTTGCCGTCCACGAGCACATTGCCACCTCCTGCCTCAAAATGAACTCGAGAACACGCGTCACCTTCTTCTCCTGATAGGAGCGGACGGCACCGCACCACCACCCGGACAGAGCCACACATTTCCTGTGCCATCCTCATATGCAAAAAGGGGAGAGGGGGGTGGGAAAATTACTTCTTGTGTAGTAGAGGCAGTTTTGCGCAAATCATCGGGGAGAGAGAGAAAGTACCGTTAGCAAGAAACCGCAACTGGGGATATAGGATAGCAACGGAGAAATATCGGTATTGTCTGGAGGCTGCCTCTCTCTCACTGCCCCACTCTACAACCACATCACAAATTGATACCATAGGCAGGAAGGGCGCACCATTCCGTGTTGACACAACCCGAAGAACGACAAAGAGACGTAGTGAAATCCGCACCTGCCACACATACTTCAGCGCAGAGCCTTCACACTATTCCATTTACGGATCCAGCCCACAAAATAGATGCGAGACTGTCCGCGGAATGAAGAGGACGGCAATGCGCCTCAGTCCGTCCGCCCAATGGCAATGCTGCCATTGAGACACTACGTGCTAGGCCGTCCCACTGCCATCTCCCTACTCTTGTCACCACTAAACCATCAATTTTAAAGAGGCTACGAGGAAAACAAAAAAAAAAAAAAAAAAAAAAAAGAATAAAATAGTGGTGCAAACCGAGTGCAGAAGCATATGCAAGGCGCTTCCCCCCTCAAAAAAAAAAAAAAAAAAAAGAAAAAAAAGTATCTAAAAGAAAATTCAAGAGCAATAAATTGATAAAGAAACAAAAATTGGTTCCACGGCAGCTAAGATGCATTTGGTGAAACATTCAAAGTGCTGGGCAAAACACTGCAAAGAAAAAAAAAGGCAGACATAATAATAAAAAAAAAAAATAAATAAATGTCTGGCACGCATGTTTCTCCACCATTTCATTTCAACAAACAGTAATAACAGGAAAAAAAAAATGGCCTATTTACGGCACAAAGAGAGTTTGCAACCCACATTCATCCAAAGCAGCTTCTTATCGGTGTTTCGCAGTAAACAGCTAATCCGGCCGATTTCCCACCTAATGCAGTTAAATGTGGCGTACGTAAACACTCGAATGATTGATTCCGCATGGCTCTGGAGAAGTGTCTGGCATTCAATAGTTCACTGAAGCATTTCCCTTCTCTAATTCCTGGTTTCGTGCAATGCATTCTCCCAATCCACACCCAAACAATACTGAAATATTCAAAGTTTCTGGTTAATGGGATTCCCCACTTCCCTGTGGATCCACTTAGCAACAACAACAACAACAAAATACAATAATAATATTTGTATTCCTCAAACTGTATACACAGAAGGGATGGATCTTTTGGTATTATATAAATAAAAGTAAAAACGGACGCTGTACGTAAAACAAATCCATACGTACATCATTAATAGCAAGTTTATCCAACATTCAACGAAGGTGGGCCCCAGTTCAGTTGCTCTCGACGTGGGACACCCAATCCCGCCAGCAATTCCGTGTAGTATTTCAATTCCTTCTTCATTCTGGCTACCTCAGCACGGAGCTGACGGATGAGCGCAGACTTCGCGTCTTCGTTTACACGTGGGATTTTCGTAATGTTGCGCGCTCGACCGGCGTACAGAAGAGTTGACAATGTCTCATCAACATACCGGTCTGACGGACTAATACATGCAATCATGGTAGTGAGCGAGTTGCCGCCTAATGCGTGCTTCAGCAACATGGTCAGCTTGCTCTCGCGGTATGGAATGTGCGACCTATCAGCGGGCTTACCTTTCTTCGCTCTTGTACCATTAGCAGCAAGAGCTGTAATGACTCTTCCGAGAGTGAGAAGTGACGCGTTGATATCGGGAGAGTCCTTTATCATTGACGAAGACGGGTTCCTAGAAAGCATTGCAATCCTCTCCGATCCTGCCAGATCCACAATGGAAAGCTCGGCCCTGATGGGTGTCTCTGGCGAGTCGGCGTCGCAGCGGACAACGTATATGGTGAATACACAGTGCGAACGCGATGACTGCTGGTTCATGGCGTGGCTTCCCATGAATTTCTCCTTCGTGCCGGAGAAGAAGCATCGGCGCATCTTCTCCGGCTCATCGCAGTTGCAGATAAAAAGATTCTCCACGGCAAAGACGTCGCCGCGGCACCAGCCGACCTTCAGCCCGGCGTTCGGCGAGTGCGTCGTGGCTGGGTTCAGCAGGTCCGTCACGCGCTCGTTGTATATCTGATAGAAGCTGCAGCAGAACTGGAACCGCAGGTTTCCGTCCTCCAACTGCATCTCCCGTGCGCGATCAAACACAAGCTGGATGGCACGAGGAATAATGCCGTGTTGCCGGGGATCCGTTTTGAGGCTGGGCCTGGGATTCCCACTGCCGTGCCGCAGGTAGTCGATGCCCTCCACCGTGTATGTCTTTCCGCTACCCGTCTGCCCGTACGCGAACACGGTGGCGTGGATGCCCTTCAGGACGTGCTCAATCATCGGTGATACTTCCTGCATGACGTCCTCTTGCGTGGAGTTCGGTGGCAGGACGCGATCAAAGGTAAAGCAGCGTGTCCCCTCCTGAGCCTTGCCGTCCACGAGCACACTGCCACCTCCTGCCTCAAAATGAACTCGAGAACACGCGTCACCTTCTCCTCCTGATAGGAGCGGACGGCACCGCACCACCACCCGGACAGAGCCACACATTTCCTGTGCCATCCTCATATGCAAAAGGGGGAGAGGGGGGTGGGAAAATTACTGTTTTTTTTTTTTTTTTGTGAAGAAGGTTGGGAATTACAGTGTATATGCCATTAAACTGCGTTTTTCTGTGATTTGTAAATACGGCAGTGTTGTATAAGAATAGTTCACGGAGACGATTTATTTACCGAGTGAAGATAAATCAACCACACAAAGGTTATATATATATATATATAAGTAGTAAAAGTGTTTTTTTTTTGTTTCCTTCTATGGTGATAAGTTTATACGTATCCTCGTTGTATTGCACTTTCTCTTAGCTGTTTATTTTTCTTGAATTCCTTCGTAAGAGCACCGCATATTTGCTTCTCGAGCAAGCATAGCTGGTCCACTCGGGCACTGATGTCGTCTAAAAGTTTTACCATTTTGTCAGTTTGAATTCGTCCTTCTTCTTCTATTTTCTCTAGCTGGAGAGACCGCTCTTTGCACTCCAATACCAGTTTGTGGTAGCGGTGTTTGTGGTGGTCTAACAACTCCGTGTTATCCATACTCGCTATGCTTTGTAAGTCTGAGGGCGGGCGCCTACCCACATTTCTTGCAAAGGGGGGACATTCCTGCCGGGGCGGCACCGAGCAGGTCTTTTCATCAATGCCCTCTCTCTGAGCATGTGTGGGTACCACGAACCGGTGGCTCGCTGGAAATGACTGGGGGTTGCTCCGTTCTTTAGTGACCGTGCGTGGTGATTTCGACCATTCAGCCGTCAAAGAATGTTGCGGTGCATTTTTATTCCCCTGCACCACTCCCGCGCCGGACATCACCTGCGATAGATGAAATCTCGTATTCCTTTACTTCCTCTTGCTGGGTGGGAGTATACACAGATATGTACGCTCGCGCTGGGAATAATACCCGCTTTCCCCAAATTCCATGCCTCACAGAAGAAAAACAACGGGGAAAACAACCTCAACAGCAAAAACGGGCAATGATCCCTTAAAAAAAAAAAAAAAAAAATGAGGCAGCTAAAAAATAAATCCCGCGAATAAATCACAAACACACACACACACAAAAAAAAAAAAAAAAAACAAACAAATAGGGAGAAAGAAAAGAGTCTTACAAAAAAATATGTGGATTTATTTGCTGCTTCTCATCGACCGTCGTGAATGCCGTTCTTTCCACCATAGAGTGATACGCCGTGCTTTTGGCTTTTTTTATTGAGTAGAAACTTCAGTCGTTTGGTTGGCTTCAAAGTTTGGTCAAGCAGGCCCTGTTTCTGCAGTGAGACAGCCACACTGGGGTCACGATTCATATCCGCAGCCAACTTTTTCGAGTTGACAAAGCGGCGGTGCAGGACGGAGATGGGTGTGTACTGCTCCATCTGAAACTGCTTCTTGGCCGGTTTACTAAAGAACTCGCGACTCCGGTATGCCATATCTGGATTCTCTGTTTGCACAATATAATGCTGCCTCACTGCGTACTGAGGGTCAAGACCGTACAGCTCGTATTCCTTAGTCTGACGATCCATATCTTTCGGAGGGACTTGTGCGAGTTGGACGTTAATGACGTGATTGCAAAAATCCACATCCAACTGCGTGGCAATTTCCCGGACACTTCTGGCGTCACGCTTGTCGGTGACGGTGTACACCCAACCCAGGTTTCCAAGCCGACCGGTGCGGCCACACATGTGCTGAAAGGAGCATGCCGTCCTAGGACAAAATGTGATGAAGACATGGGAGACAAGAGGAATTTCAATCCCAAACGCTTCCGACTCTCGAAGAAGCAAGAACTTCCACTTGCCACAAAACTCACCATCATGGCACACCTCTGAGAAAAGCTTGGCGTTCATTCCAAGACCGCGAAGTTTTGTTCGCACCTGCAACAAATTATCTTCTTGGCGAATAAATATAACTGCGCGTCCGGGGATGGTGTCCCGGGCATTCCAGATTAGCTTCACAAGATATTCATACAAATCCTCGTGGAACAGATGAAAACTAAAAAGGCAGTGAATTGTGGAGGGAATACGCACAGAGGAGAGAACAATGGTGTGCCGCTCAAGTTTCACACACAGCGCCTTCAAATGATCCTTGAGACGTTCATCCATGTCCGCCGACACAAGCCCAAGCTGCAGGATCGAGCGGATGTGCGGCCCTGGAAGCTGATGAAGAGTTCCCAAGAGCAATTCGCAGGCCAGTGGGTTCCTCAAACGCTCCCGCATCTCCGCCACAGGAGCATTAGGTGGTACCATTGGTATTTGTACGCCAATGTCATCTATATATACGCGTCGCAAGTACCCAAAAGACTCAAACTCCATCTTTTTCTCAAACAACAATTCACACATGGTATCTGCAGTTGTAATTAAAATGCGCACTGGGCCATGATCGCTATGAAGCGAACGTCTAAGCGCACGGTAGTACGTCTCATAACCCTCTCGATGGGAGCCAAGGTACAGCCACGACCAATCATCCCGAGGACGGTCTACCACAGTACCACCCAAAGGGCCACAAAGAGCTCGAAGCTGGCTGTACGCATGCAATGCGGTCAACCCATCCTTTGCCACAAATACGTTGAGACCTGCTGCCTCCGATCTCACAGACTGCAATAATGCAAGAAGAAAAACACTGGTCTTGCCGCTTCCTGTGACCCCATTAAAAATGACATCATTATGATCCTCGTGTAGAAGCGCCGGAAGCAGACGGCACTGAAGGCGCGTGGGAACCGGTCCATACTTGGCAAGCGCCCTTTCACTCAGCAGTGGGTCGAGTCCAAGAGAAATCCACGCTACACCTCCCTCGTCTTTCGCTGATGGCACCTTGCGGCGCAAAGTCAGTACCGCTGATGACGCAGATGATGATGATGACGATACCAAATCGTTAACCAAAAGGTCCTCTTCAATAACAAGTCTAGCACGCTCACGAGCGGATTCTAAGATGGTGCCTTCCAAATCTGCTTCGGTAATGATCTTACTACCAATGGGCCCCTGTAGCTCAACACGCAGGTGTTCCGCAAGCATTTCCTCCATGTCACTTAAAGGAGCACTTGGTGTCGTGGCTTCGTCGGCTGTTGTTTGACCATTCTGAGCGAGCGTGGATTCCGCGGCTTCCAGCAGCGCTGTTGCACCATTTCCTTCAAGAACGAGCGTGCGATTGGGTGATGTCCTTTTCGACTGCGGCAAAAGCACCAGAGGAGAACGCTCTGTGGGGCTGTAGAGTCGTTCTGTCATTGATCGTTCCAACGCCTCTGTCGATGGCCACAGCCTCTGCTGGTAACGGTAGTAATTCCCTTGTCTGTTTTTGCGGAGCTGCTGCACCAGCCTAAAATCCTCGTACTGGTCGAGAGGACTACGCAAGCCATTGCTTTGGCTAGACTGAATCACACAACGAATGACAACAAAAACCGAAAAAAGATCCCTATCCCGCCACGGTGTGCCTGACAGTTGATTTACCCGGCGCATTTTTTGCTTCATAAAAGTGTGTTTCGGTGTAAAAAAGGGTGGAGGTGGGGAGAAAAAACAAAAAAACAAAACAAAAACAAAAAAAGGGACAAGCGCAAATCAGTCGCAAGAAGTAAATCAATGCATAAACAACAACAACAACAATCCTCCTCAAAATAATAATAAATGAGACAGCACACACACACACAAAAAAGAACGATCACCACTAGGAAATAAGAAAGGAAACAAACAAACAACGAAAAACAACTGTCTAGTTTTCATAAACCGAGAAACACTTATCTGTTAAATCACCCATTTGTACCTTTTCATAAATGCTCACACGGATATACACATATATATATATGCAAAACACCCACACATCTGAAATGAAACACACTGTGTCTTTGAACGACTATTAACAACAGGATGGACAGCTGGAAATATACGATAAACAACAACAACAACGGCCTTCAATGAAGTTCATCATGTGTATGACACATGGGTTATCCACGTCCTCGTCGTACTCGTGCGGCAAAATCCTGCGGAAATTTTTCTAGATAATGACGCGCCTCAGGATTCACATCATCATCACGGCGGCTCTTGTATTGAGAAAATACCCTGTCCAATACAAGTTTGATGACGTCTGAGGCATGCTGGTCCGGAGTCCAGAAGTCGTTAACCATCCGATCACAAATTCCACCTTCTCCTGTCACTAATGGGCTGTACACCGGGGTAACAAAACGCACAGTTGGTGGCTCATGCGGATAGTCGTCAGAGAAGAGTACCGAAAGTTGATATGTGTTACCGGCGCCACCGTAGACGCTATCGGCGGGGGCTTTCACCTTCAGTATCCAATTATAGATTGTGTCCGTATCGACAGAAAAAATAGCCGTGGAATGTGGGCTACCGCTGCTGTTGGCTTCATTATTTGCATCCACTTCCTCAAGAAGAAGCTTAAGATCTTTGATTATCCGTTTGTTGGAAATGTTCTTCATCTCTTTGCTCCTTTTTTCCACCGTCCTTCTTTTCCGGTTGCCTTGAAAAGCCCTTCGCCTCCCGTCACTTCTCAGAAAGACAGCAAATGGTGTAAATGTGTGCTGGACCAGTCAACGCAGCAGCACACAGACACACACACACAAAAAAAAAAAAAAAAAAAAAAAAAAGAGAGAAAGCAGATCATGAGAAAAGAAACATGTGTGCCTACACAAACTCATGCGCACAACACATAAAAAAAAAAAAAAAAGGAAACAACCGAGATAAATAGAGAAAAAGATATCCACGCGACAAATCGACATCTCATTAGAGCCTCCTCCCTCCCATCCTCCGGCACGGCTAGCCGCCCAGAAGAGCGAGTGTGAGCATGCATACACACGCACGCACGCACATTCATACAAACAGAAGGCATCCGAAAATTAAGCGTAGGAACAAACAAACAAACAAACAAAAAAGCCCGCCCAAAAGCAGCATCGTCGTGTATTACATCTCCCACCCTTCACTGCCCGTCCTTGACCGTGTGGGGTGTCCACGGCGTCAACAAGCAACACCCGGGAATAAAAACGGCACTGGCGAGGACGACCGAAGGGAATGAGAGAAAAAGAACCATGCGCCTCCATTGAAACATAAAAAAAGAATACATAGAAGGGGGAAGGGGTAATACACATATAATATATAATATATGTATATATATATATATATGTATTTTACAATCCTCCGCGCAGCGACATTAACGCTGCTGGAATTTTCTCTCTTTTTTTTTTCTTTTTTCCTCCTTCTCTTTCTCTCCCTCCCCATCAAAAAAACACAAACACACACATTTTCGTGCATTCCCGCCATCGCATAGGCAAACAACACAAACACTGAAATGCAAAGTAATTTTAAAGTATTCACGGCCAAAAACCCCCCCCAAAAAATAAAAAAATACAACACATTCCTTCACACAAAATGAATGCACCACCACAAGAACAAAAAAGAAAAAAACAAACAAACAAAAAAACAAAAAAAAAAAAAAAAAAAACAAAAACAAAAGGCCGTATTTATTTCTTGTCATTATTCTTCCCTTTCAATGCGTGAGTGGGACGTTCCCTCGTCTTCTTATTCCACAAGATTTGTTTTTTTTTTTTGCTCTTAGGCAGTTGCAATCCTACGGGAACCGCCGGTCTCACCGCTCTTCACATTGGCAAAAAAACCCAGCCGCTTCATGAGGAGTCTCCTGGCGCCCATCGTGTAGGCATCAAGTGTGATACATCCAAGCTTTTGCACATCAACCTTATGGAAGCTTGAGCAAATTTTTTCTTCACTTGGCGGATCACAGCCCAACTCCTCAAAAACACGAAGCATGCTGGAGCGAAACCCCTCGTAGTCTAACATTCCCGTGTCTTTTACATCATACAGTTTGAAGTGTTCTTGGCATAATTGGAAAAAACGCTTTTCATCCCGCAGGCTTTGTGACAATAACATATCCTTCACGGTCACCCCAAATATATGTTGCTTAAGAAGAACACATTCGTTAATTTGCTTCCGGTCAATTGATGAGGGCAGAAGATTCAGCTCATCTATTGCCTGCAGCACCGTTTCTGTCGCAACATTACCAACAAGGTCGTTCTCTTTTGCAAAGGGACATCCCCCCATACCTCCAAGTGCACTGTCAATCATCTGGCACCCTGCCTTCAAGGCGGCAATTATCTTTTCTTTAGATGTCGCGGTGTTGCTGTGGAAATGTGCACCAAAAAAAACATCCGGGAACTTCTTCTGCAATCTTGTAAAAAGATCATGTATCTTCTGCGGCTCAGATACGCCAATGGTATCAGCGAGACTGATTGTGCGCACGCCCATGGAAACCAAATTCGAGACAAGTTGTTCCGCCACTTCTGGACCACACGGTTCCCCATATGGGTTACCAAACGACATAGAAAGGTAAACAAGCAGTTCCTTTTTTTTATTGAGCTCCAATGACATCCCATTACTGGACGATAGAGCCGCATTCGTATCCACAACAGCCTTTTGCATTTCCGTGAGTTCGTTAAGGGCCTCCGCAATGCTCTTTTTTGTGTTAAGTTGTTGAAATCGTTCGGAGCAGGAAAGTGGAAATCCAATGGTGCTTACAATGGGTGTTTCAAGCGCGCGCTTAAACCCTGAGTGGGATGCAACCACAACTGAGAGTTTCGGGGCGTCCTCACCAGTTAGAAGCGCATGATTGCAGCCAGCCAGCACCTCCGCACTGTCTCGCATCTGCGGCACGGCCCGCGGGGAAACGAACGAGGCACAATCAATTGAATAAAAACCGCACTTTAAGAGAGCATTCAAATAGAGAATTTTTTGCGCCGTCGGAATAAAGTGAGAAAGTCCCTGCATTGCGTCGCGAGGGCACTCCACCAGGCGAATAGGCGCCAAGAAAAACCGCGAGGAGAACATCACAAATATCTCCCCCCCCTTTTCTTCTTTTTTTCTTTTATTTTCACCTCGTTAACCGCCCCTTCACTTTCGTCAGTTATAAGTAGGGGGAGTGGGCAGGGGCCACAAGTAACCTCAAGAATACAAATAAACAATAGCAAAAAGGAAAGGAAAAAAAAAAAAAAAAAAAAAAAAAACTTTGGAGAAAGAAAAAAAAAAAAAAGAAAGTGGGAGTACTCTTTTCTTTTCCTTTTCTTTTGATCCGCTTGAGACTTTGACGGCAAATATGTTTAACGACTTTATGAGCGCCTTCTCGCCCCACGTATGATGCCCGTGAATATATATATATATATAGGTATGTGTATATTGCCTCGACCCCCCTCCCCTCTACTCAGGCTGCGGGTAAAATATATGTATATTGCAGGCAAGAGAGAAAAGTATATATGTATTATATGTATACAACCCTTTTGTGTATCGTTATTCTTGTCGCCCTTTTGTTTCCTCGATTTTCTTCCTTCGTGTGTTTTGGTGTTTCCCGCACCAACACACACACACACACACACACGCGGCAATTGCACCCCTTATTTTTTTCTTTCCCTTGTTGTTTCTAATTTCCTTTGATGTACACGCGGTTGCTTTTCCTTCTGGCAGCTAAGAGATAAACACAGTCGTGCTGGTTGATTTCTTAGCTGCACGTGCAACCTAAAAACGTGCGCCAATTGCCACGCACTCTCTCCCTTTGCACGTAAATGTCAGCGGGGATAAAGAGAAAAAAAGAAAAAAAAAAAAAAAAAAACAGGGAATATGCGCTTGTATGAGGCCCTGGCGCCCTTTTCCTACAAGGACAAGGTGCAACAAGAGAAACAGTTTATTCAGTGCACCCAGCACTCCACACAGTTCATAGAGGATTTCTCCCACACCCAGACACACGCACGCCAGCCAACAAACACATTCAAAAAAAATATACCGTAAACACAGAGATCGTTGAAGGCTAAAAAAGCGGCAGCCATCAAAAGAGCCACGCAGCCGTCGGAGTCCCCCTCGTGAAGGGCAGCACCGGAAAATAGGGTGGGAAAACAGAAAAAAAACAACAACAACAACAACGCTCTCGTTACCTTCCAACGCGGTATCTTTGAAAATAAAAATAAATTCGCAATGAGGAAGCCAAGGTATATATATATATATCCAAAGCCTCTCTCTTTCTCTCTCTCTCTCTCACTCGCTTTTTTTTTTTTTGTATGAAATGTCATTTAAAAACAAAAACAAACAAACAAGATAATACTTTATATTAGCTTTAAAAAGAAGAAAAAAAAATGTATTTATCATGCAGCCATATAAATATGGACAAGTTGATCATTACGCATATCTGTGTTAGCATGCGGTATTTTTCTTTTTTTTCCTTTAATTATTCACAGCAATGCAGAATTTCCAACGCCACGTTCTCACTCCCTCATTACATGAAGTGGTACGCATCATCCGCGATTCATATTCACCAACCAAATTCAATTTTCACACACACACACAAAAAAAGCCCACATAATCATAAAAATATGGATACATACATGTAAGGTGAAACATCACAGTAGGGCAAAATACATGCAAAGAACACATGTCTTTAGCGCCTCACGACGTTTGGGTCCGGCACACACACACACACACACACAAACAAAAAATAAATAAATAAAATAAATAAATAAAAACGTGGTGTAGAAATAGACGAGAGTAAATAAATTTACATGATTTCCTTCCTTCCTTTCCACTGTTTTCCCCCCTCTCTTGATGCCCCCTTTCCGTTGCCCGCGTGTCCCCTTCGACGTGGAAACTCTGCCGCTTTTGGCCCCTCCTCCCTTCGTATCCGCCCAGCACGCGTCAAATTCCGTTTTTTTCCCCCTCGCATTTCGTGTCGCTGCGGTTTCTGAAAGAAAAGGACGTGATAAAAAAACAACAACAACAAGGACAAATAAACACTCGTACACAACATCAAAGAAAAATTATTCCCCCCCCACGGTGTTAATTACAGGAATAAAGCTCCAAGTTGTTTTCCGCACCCTCGTTCAGATGCCGGTGACGCATAAAGAGTGCATAGGCCTCTTCGTCGTGAATTAACATGCCCTCCTCCGTTTTTTCCGCGAGAACAGGAGGCAATTCACCCTTCGTAAGGTCCGCAAACACGTTGTTATTGAAAAGCGTGGCGCTGTCCACCAATTCAATGTAACGTTCAAAATTCTCCGCGAAGAGACGAAACGAGCGCAGTTGCATTGGAATGGGTACACCCCTTCCTGTTGAAAACCAACGAAGAATTCCACGGGGGATGGCAATTTCTGGTTCCACCGTAATGGCAAGAAAACGGACTTCATAGGGATTGGCCAACGGTCTGGATCGCGGCTCAAGAGGCTTGAAGTACTCCTCAATGGCTCCATTCTCCTTATACCCAACACCTTGTTGATACAAGGTCGTGTGTGCATTGCGGACCATGCTTATGACTTGCTCAATGAACGGACGCCACATCATGGTGCTGTCAAAGACGATGTTGCGACCCTGATTGATCGCTCTCACCAAAAGTTTTTCCGCGGCACGGGTACTGCTTTCGTGCATCGTCTTTGCACCTTCGGACCACGGGGTCATGGCAACTTTAAAGTCATCCGCGTTCACCAGCACGATGTCGGCTTTATTTTTTTCCCACCACAGACTGCGTGACAACGCCGTCGCCGCAGTACTTTTGCCAGCCGCCATGCCACCGCCCATAAAAATAAATACCGGCGCCTCTCCTTCAACCAACCTGCAGTGTTCCACTGAACTACATTGCAATTGACGCAGCATCACTATTGCTGACACCATTTCACGGCATTTCCTAAATTTCTGACCCTCACGAAGAACCTTAATACGGCTCACACAATCCTCATCATCCTTCGTGCGCGGCCGGCTCAATCCCTTGTTGTTGATCCACTCCACAAGCGCGGGAATGGTTATAACAGCATTTGCGGGGTAAAAACGGTAATCTCCTTTCCCAATGATAGTATAAATTTCTTCCTCATTGGTACAAAATCCATGCAATGTGGAAGAAGGGCTTCCCGGGTCTGAAGGCACACCATACAGAGCTTCGGATATTGATGGCCCTGAATTACGTAATACAGCCATGCGAAACGCGTTATTATTTGTACTTTTATCACTCCGAACGGAGAGGCTAGATATTACTTCCATAGAATTGTTTTCTGACGGAGGACGCCCCTCCTTGCCCAATGAATGATTGGGATCGCCCCTTTCCAGGGGTGGCACGTAGATGATGGTTGGAAACCATGATATGTTAAACATGTTCGCAAGCTCCGGCTCCGCGACAACGTGAACAACAGAAACAGTTGGTACGGGATCCAATAGCTCTTTTTTAAGAATATCCTCAAATATATGAAGAGCTTCGCAGCTCTTTGCAGAAAATCTTGCGTGAAATACAAGTACAAGACCATTAGGCGATTTTTGCAGACGTTCTGAGATGTTCCCAATGGTTGTGAAAGTAAGCCTATGAAAATTCAAAGAACCCCCTTTCGTTTCACCGTCTGGTTGACCGCCGGGGACTTTTGTTGTGAAGCCAAAAATATGTTCACTACTGCACGGTGATAGACGTTCTGGAAAAATGGAGAAGGATTCATCTTCATCCGACACATCCTCCTCTGGATCTGTCGACATGCACATGGGGAGTATATTCTGTCTAACATACACCTCATACTCCTTGTTGATATTAATCACATCTTCCGTACGATGCCAATTCCAAGAAAAGTACATTGGTACAAGTGTATTCACAAGCCTGAGAAAGTGTTCCACGCACTCGTCTGGGTCGCACAGTTTGGGGCCAGGCGGAAGGTTGCTGACACCATCATTGGAGCTGAGGGATCTGATAGGAGGGCTTTGAAACTCCCGTGCACGTCGCCGTATCCGAGCCACCAGCGTGTCCCTATCCTTTGAGAAGCGGATTGCCCATTTGTGACAAAGGCTCCGCAGCAACTCCGGATCCGAGCGGGTTAAAAAAAGCATGGTACAACACGCAGCCAATCTTGATACAAACATATCTGGCGGATGCTCTAACGCCATAAGGACATATTCAATAAACGGCAGCCACGGTGGTGGCCGAAACATCTACACTTTTACGTCAAATTATTTAAATTTCCCTTCTTCTTCTTTTGTTGTTGTTGTTATTTTCCCTTTTTCTTTTTCTTCTTCCTGCGCTTTTGTGCCTCCGTCCTCCGTTTCCTCTCAGGCCCGGAGAAGAAAGTGTCTCCTCTTGCTTTTGTAGGGATGGTGGCAATGATGGGAGGTGCACTGAAAACAAAAACATAAGAAGCAACCAGTGATCGTGACAACAGCACCATAAAACAACATCAACCATACAAGTAATGACATGAGAAAATAAAATGTGTGCTCGCAATAAACAATAAAGAAAAAGCAACTCGTTTAAAACAATAAATAAATAAATAAATAAATAAATAAATAAGGATCCTCCATCCATAAAGGTCACAAAAGACCACCGGGATCATATACACCCATCCATCCATCCCTCCGGAAACAAAAAGATATAAAAATAATCGTGCAGCCTCACATTATGGGCCGTGAATCTTCAAACAGGAACAATCGATGAGACACCCACACCCACAAACATGCACACATCAAGACGGTGAAAACTACGACCCAAGTCACGAAACCTTTACAAAAAAAAAAAAAAAAAAAAAGATCAGTAGGAAAAAAAAAAAAAAAAAAAAACACCCTCGCCGTTATTATACTATATGTTTATTACGCACAATTCGCACAAGCCCTGATACGAGTGAAAGAACCTGCGCAGTTTGTTCCTCCAGACTAGGGTTATTGCATGTGAAAGGGTTGGCGACATGAACAAAAACAGCAAAAACACGCCCCCTCCATTTCTTTTGCAACTTCAAGCTTCGATACAGGGTGTAATTGCAGTAATACCGTCCAGCGTCACGGGATATAATCCAATGCGGCTGTTGGCGGTCGCCTTCCCTGCGGCCCCTTTT